CTTGATTTCAATCGTTTCATAAAGATCCTTTGATTTTTCATTTCGATTTTTCAAGATGCTTTGCTTTTTGGTCCAGACCAATTCACTAAGTTACTTTGTATGGATCATACCCTTTTGCGGAAGGCGGTTTCCTAATTGTAAACTGGCTTATGTATCCCAAACATTCTAAATTGAAATTACACAGTTGAATGACCTTATAATACATTTGCCTTGAGTTTGCCAAACTTCTCTTGGGTCTGTAGACAACTCTTTTCCTGCCAAAGCTCTTTCCCACGTAAAGCCTTTTGCCCATGCTGATCCCTCTGCCTGGAAAGCTCTCGGGATTCTCTGCAAAGCTGACTCTTTTTCATCCTTCAGCTCAAATGAAGGAGACCCTTCTAAGAAGTTGCTTCCCTGATATAGATCACTTTCAAGACCACTTCCCTGATATAGTTCCTTATTTATTTCCTTACAGTACTGATCACAATCTGCAGTTTTCTTATTTTTTATTTACTGCTTTGTCTATATCCCTCATTATATCAACTCCTTGGGAGCTGGGTGCTTGCCCATTGATGCCATTATCTACCCCTCACACCCAGCACGGTGTCTAGCACACAGCACACAATAACTATCTGTTGAACATATGAACTTGTCTGACAAGAGCCACACCAATGTTGAAAGACTATGGCCATATATACTTCTCTTGAGGCAAGAGCCTGTTCTAAAGACTATCCAGGGCTTAGCCTGTGTTGCTCACAGTGCCCACATTTCTCTCAGGGACCAGAGGGAGCCCAAATGGCTGCCCAGAAGACTGCTGACTTCCTTCTGCCCCACCCTAATGGGGCTGCCCCAGTGATGTCACAGGACAGAATTCTCTAATTCTTTTCATTCTGTGACAGTCCTTTAAACAGCTAATTTTTCATGTCCTGATATAGTGGAGGGCAGAGGGATGAAGGAAGGAAAGCGGGGGTGAGGGGTACACACCCTCCAACAAAATTAGTTTAGGGGCAATATTTGCTCATATGTATTGCTCCGGTGGAAACTGGGTAGCAGAAGCTGTAATTTGGACTAAGCTAAAGAAAAAAGAGAAAAGAAGAATGGGGAAAGAAGTAAAGGAGATAAAAAGAAAACAGAAAAGGAGAAGAGTAATAAGAAAAAAGAGAAGAGAAGAAATGAAGAGGACATGTGTGAGGGAGAAACATGAAACAGGTAGTGAAGGAGGAGGAGGAAGGAAGTTCGGAATCTGTGTTCTGCTTGGCTTTGTAACTCTTGGATAGTGATTGGCTTCAGTATGAAAGGTTGACTGGGTTAGGTAAGGGGGAATTCTCAGGATTCCCTTGGGAGCAGGTCACTTAAATTGCTGAGATTTATTTTGAGAGGCCCAAGCAAGGCTGTCTCAGGGGTGTCTCTTCTGGGTGGATTCACAATAGTAATTTTGGAACCAGGAATGTTAACCTTTTCTTTAAATCATGACTGTGGAAGAAAAGAGAAGAGAGTATTACTGATCATGCTATGTTTTAGAGTTTAAAGTTTAGACTCCTCACTGCAGCCCCTGCCCTCACCCCAAGCCTCCCAATTACTAGATTAATAGCATGCATTTAAATTCAGGACTTGAAAACCAATCTTTCTGAAAAACCTTTTTCCTCTTTGGTCACTGAAATATAAACAGATTCTCAAAGCAGAGTAGGATACTTTTAAAATATACCTATACAAATTACTAAAAAACAGTTATGGCAGCATATTTCTACTGTTTCTCAAAAACTGTAAACATCCCTAATATGTGTAGGCCCAAGCAAAGTCTCATAACTCGAAAGGAAAGGGAACTTTTGCCCAGGCTGGTGTGGTTCATTGGACTGAACACTGGCCTGCAAACCAAAAGGTCACCTGATTGAAGTATTGATGTTTCTCTTTCTCCCTCCCTTCCCCATTCTCTAAAAAATAAATAAAATCTTAAAAAAAAAACCATTTAATCTATTAATTATTACATCCTTTAAAAAGAAAAGGAAACTTTTAACCCTTTTTTTCAATGTGCTTTTGCACCTTTCTAAATAGTTACTATCCTACAAGTTTTTTGCCCTTAGTATTGTATTCAGGGAATATTTATTACAATATTTTGGGAATATAATATTTAGTATAAGGAAGGAGATATTATAATATCAAGCATATTTATTCAGACAATATTAAGATAACTTTGTCCCAAATTTTAAAATGTTAATCTTACAACCCATGAGTTTCCTAGTTCGTACCAAAATATCCCTGCAAGCTATACAAGAAATAAGAAATAGAGAAAGGGCCCTGGCTGGTGTAGCTCAGTGGATTGAGTGCGGGCCTGCAGACCAAGGAATCGCGGTTCAATTCCCAGTCAGGGCACATGCCTGGGTTGCGGGCCAGTTCCGAGCCGGAATGCACAAGAGGCAACTGTACACTGACGTTTCACTACCTCTCTCCTTCCCTTCCCCTCTAAAAATGAATAAATAAAATCTTAAAATAAAAAAAGAATGAAAGGAATCATTAAAAAAAGGAAGAATGAAAGGAATCATTAAAAAAAGGAAGAGAGGAAGGTACAGTTTTATTGGCAGTCTGTAGGACACTGTGCAGACTCCTTAAAAATTTCTTTATGTTCATATTTTGTCTCTTTCTACCTCTTCCGCTACAATTGACCCAGATTCCCCTACAATTATAGAGCAGAGAGAAGAAAGGTATGGGTGACTAAAAGAATGAAGCAAAAAGACAGGCAAGACCTTCAAGTTCAATGCCACTACTGACATTGGCAGCCCTGGTTCTGCTTTACTAGAAAATTTGTTTTCTAAGATACTCCAAAAAGTGGTTGCCACATGAGCAATTCTATTTCAGAATGGTAATGAGTCCACTAACATGCTAATCATGCTATTACTTGTCTAAAGTATTAAGGATTGCAATAAGGCAGAGCAACAAAGATCTTTGATCTAATTTTCCTTTTTTTTTAAGTGTGTGAAGAATTAGGAAATGTATTTTCACATGATACTGGGACTAAGGGCAGAATTTTATTTTTACTTCATATACCTGGAAATGATATATCTTCACCTTACTCTAATAAATTTTAACCCCTAAAATATTGGGTAGAGTGATTTTGGAGTTCCTTAAAGATGTGGCCTGCCAGTGACCATTTGGTAATACTGTTTGATCCTGTTGTTAGGTTCCAGGCCTAAAAGGGAAAGGAATAGAACCTTCCCAAAAAAGTAATGTTGAAGAAATTGGAGAAGGATTTTACAGCTTTAAACATAGCTAAATGATGAGAAAAAGACAAAGTAAGAATTGGGGCAACAAAAAGTTTTTAGTAGATACAAATTGTTCTCAACAGAAAGCTCCTGAGATGAAATGGAGAGGCCTCATCACAAATGTACCAACTTATTGGCCAGAACCCAAGCTAGCTAACCCAATTTCAGTGTTCTTTTTAAAGTACTACAATGAAGTAGTATATATTTGTTTTGTTTTTGTACATACCAGACCATCAAAAACTGAATATTTCTTTTAATCTTCTGTTTCTGCAAATGTGGTGTAGGTCAAATCCATGAACAGGTTAAGGTTCTGACAAGAGAGGGAACGGCACTTCAGCCAATGGGAACCCACGCTGGTGATGCACTGCTCCCAAGTTCTGATTCATTGGCCGACTAGGGTTTGTCATTCTATCCTCGGCGTCTGCAAACAGCGTGGGTCGGGTTTTCCGTAGTCTAGCTAGCTAAACTGGATTTTGGCCGTCCGCACGTGCAGTTTCAACTAGGTATAGCTGATCTCCAATTCTTCGTAGAAGCAGCAATTACGTTTATGATTATCCTCTAGATTTTGAAAAATGTTCCTTTCATTTAACCTTTCTGGAGGTCGTTGGAGGTCCCCAGTGACAGAATCGTGTGACTGTCTGACTGGTGCAAATAAATAAAATGTGGGATCCCATGAGCTAGACAGAAAACCTTCCAATAACTCAGAGCACGTGCCCAGCGCTTGTATGTGGGTGGCTGGTGGTAGGGTGCATGTAACGCTGCCCTTCGGGACCCGAGGTGTGTGCCTGGGACACTTCCCCAGGGGGCACTGGGGAAGAATGGCGCCAGAGACGTAGAGCCTGAGGCAGGGGGTCTGGCGGCGGCCTGGAACCTAGGGAGCATTAGATCTACAGCAGTCTGGCGGTGAATAGGCCGCGACAGCGAGAAAGGTCAAAAGGGCATGGTCGGTCCCCTGGGCTCTGTGGACCGCGTCTGGTCGGGGGAGTGGGTGTGTATTTGCAACAGGTACAAGTGCCGACGCGGGAGACGCGGACGCCCTAGGGAGAGCTTCAGAGTCCCGGCACCGCAGACTGCCTGCGTTGGAGAAGCAGTCGATTTCTCATTGCTCTAACAGTTGCACACACTGTCCAGCTCCGGTGCCCAGTTCCGATCCGGGCTTCGGATCCTCCTTTCAACTTCGGCCTGGGGCCCTGGCCTGGGAGGAGAGAAAAGCTAAGGAAGAGAGTGGCGTCACCTACTGCTGCCCCTCCCCCGCCCACAGGCCGGCCCTCGCCGCAGTTCCTGCCCAACGACATCCGGGTCTCTCCAGAAGGCTCGGCAGCGCCGCAGCGGTAGCGGCGGCTGAGCCGGCGGGGCGAGGTGGGGCGGGGCTGGCGGAGAAGTGGGGGAGGGGCAGCACGGCTCCGTCGTGAGCGCGCCTGCGCGGGGACGCGCTCGAGGCGGCGGCGGCTCTAGGGGCGGGAGCGCGCGCGGGAGCGAGGGAGCAGTGGTCTCGGGGCGGCCCGGCCCGCAGCTTCGGGTGCTTGGGTGGCTGCAGCTCAGGAACGGGTGGTTGGGGAGGGGGGGGGGGGGGCTCCAGACAGGTGGGGCGCGATAGCGATGAATCTCCGGCTCTTCCTCCTCCTCCTCAGGGACCCGCTCTCCACCTCCCGCTCCAACGCCCGGATGATCTGAGCCGCGAGGGCACCGAGAGCCGGGGTCCCGGACGCAGCCCGGCTCCTCCCCTCCTTTGCCCCCTCCTCTGCCTGACCTAGTCGGCAGTAGCCGTGGTGACCCCCTTCCCGCCCCCTCCCCGGCCGCCGTCGCTGCCGCCGCCTCGGCCGACCAGGGACCTGCCTGCCCGCGGCTGCTCCGGGTAAGCGTGAAGTGGGGCCGAAGGCCGGCGGGCGGGGGGGGCGGCGCGGGGCCTGCACGACGGCGGTGGCGACCAGGCCTGGGGCCTGGGGCCTGTAAACAAGCCGGGCGTCTGCCCGGGCGCTCCCGGGAGGAGACGCGACAACTCCACCCCCTGGCCGGCCTCCTCCTCCTCCGAGCCGGGTGGCGGGCAGCGAGGGGTTAACCCTCCGCGAGGGCGGTGGCAGGGAGGCGGGGGCGGAGTGTTTGTGGCAGCAGCCGGGAGAGGGGGCGCGACCCTCAGGCGGGTTGGGTGTTAAAGCCGCGACGCGGGTGATGGCCGTGGGCCGGCCTGGCGCGGACTGAGAGCGTCCCGCCAAACTTCTCCGGAACGGCGAGGGGGCGCCGGGAGCCCCCACCCGCCCGACCGCCCTCCCTAGGCTCCAACCCCTGGGAGGGAGGCCGGGAGAAAGAAGGGGAGGGGCTTCCTTTGGACCGGACTTCCCCTCAAAACACCAAATTCTGTAGCATTTGCTTCAGGTTTTATAGGGGGCAGAGCTGAGAGTGAGGCTCCTTCAGAACTCAAGTCAGCGATGCCTCCGATTCATTCATTATTAAGGCATCGAACAAACCCATTGAAGTAAATCACTGATTTCTTCTCGTCTTTTTAATCGTGTAAATTATGTAAGTTATTGCTGTTAGCGTTTGGTTGAGGTATGGTTTTGTTCTGCTTGTAGATTTGAAATGTTATATGGCCGTGCAGAGCCTTCTACCAGCCGTAGTTTTAGATACGTTTTGAAAATTTCACCACCCGAGATATTCCTTTTCCTCAAGCACCACATGGTACTTAAAAATCCACAGAGGTCATACTTAAATTGTTCACGCCAAGAAATCTATGCCCCACCCCCAACCTTAAATTTTCTGCTAATTGGAGTCTTGAGCCGAATGCATTCTAAGGAGTGATTGGAAGAATAGGTCTTCCTACTCTCAAGGTCTCAAAATCTGTGATAGGTATTATTTTCCCACAGTAAATGACTTTGACATTAGAAGAAATTAGAAATTTTAAAAATTGTCTTGAGGAATAAGGCTTAATCTTTTCAAATTTGCACTTTGAAATTTTAAACACAACCACTTTTCAGATGCAAAGAGCTATGAAGAGACAGAGTATTTATATTTAAACAGTATTCTGCTGAACCTTAGGAGCTACAGAGCCCTCAGAAGCCCATCAGGGCTTGCTCTCCAGCTCCGTAACTGGAAGACCCTCATTTTTATACTTTTTATCTTTTTATGTGTTGGGGTCTTTGCGAGAGATTGTATTTCTGTAACTCTTTACAGATTAGAAGACTGATGAGAAAGAAAGATAGTGACCGTCTCCACTGCCAGTTTTCTAATCATACATGCTATGTTCGTTAATTTAATATTTCCTTTGCCTGTAAATTGAAGCACAGACATTTCTTGCCTGGTGTTATGGTCCTGTTCTTATGTATTAGGTTGGCCCAAAAGTCTGTTTAGTTTTCTCATAAAATAATGCATTTTTCATTTTCACCAATAACTTTATTGATTTGGATATTTTGAGTAGGTCGGCTGTCCCCTGCAGTTGGCTACTAGTGGGTAGAGGCCAGGGCTGCTGCTAAACATCTTCCGGTGCCACAAGCAAAGAACTATGTGGCCAAAAGTTACTACTACCGAAACTTCACAAACCACTTTTGATATGTTGGGTCAGTCACAGCACCTCCACACACTGCACAAATCTTTTTTTGCATTTCAATTGTGTTTTTACCTTTCTTGATATAATAAAGCATAATATATGGATAGTGTGGCATATTTTCTTCCATCTTCAATATTAAAATGGCTGCACAAAAATTCACCAATGTTGATGTTTTTTAAATGCATGTTGATATGACAGCTGTCATAATATAATGTAACAAAATTCTTTCAAATGAAAAAGATAAGTGATCAGTACTTGAGCCATTTTATGGAAAAAAAACTAAATCATTGGCCAATGAAATGTAACTCACATTATATCTGATTAGACATTCAATCATGTAGAGATGATTGCTTTTTAACTTAATGAAGTGCACATGGGAGTTGCTTAAGATATTTTTGATTTGATATTAAACATTTTTCACATCAATGAAGTCATTTTGAGAGAGATGTATTAAAACTGGTAACGTTTGCTAGGTACCTTTTATATTCGAGAAATAACACAGTTGAATGCTATAGTCATCACAATTTTTTTTACGTGGCATGAGTATTAATATATATGTGTGTATACATACATATTTTAACACTGATTGTGTATGTTTATATTTTAGTTTGAAGGGCTGAGTGATGACCATAATTACAGTATAAACTGTTGAAGGGAACACTGCACTAGGAGACAAGAATTGTTTAGTCATGGCTGTGCTCCAAAATATCTGTGTCCATGGACAAGTTCTTTAACCTTTTGAGTCTCAGCTCACAAATCAGTAAAGCCAAAGGAGTGGATGTATTATCGAATGTACTGTCCAGTTAAAATTTTTTATTGTATTGTTCAACATACTTAGACCAAATGCCTGGCATGTACTTCTGATGTTTCAGCATTATAAAGCTGATTTTCTGTCTGGATTTTGTCTTATTTTCCAAATTTTTTAGTTAGTGATTATTCTTTAGGAAAAACATTTCAGTAGGTATCCTTTTTTGACTTTTCTGTTAGGATTGGGAAGTCTAGAAAAATTCTTGGGAGGAAGGGGGATGGAGATTGCCTTGTAGACAAAGGGTGGTTGAGACTATGGGTTGCAACAATCATGTGGCCCTTGATAGTTTGATTGTGAAGGGTATTACAAGAACGCATTACGAAGTTTTTTTGTCAGTCCTGGTTGGGTCTTGCTTATCTTGTTAATAAACTTTCATTTGAAAATTTGTTCTTTAATACCTAGTTCTTACAGCAACATGTTATCACATGGCAAATATTGCTAAGCAGTTACCAAAAATCTAGTCTTTAAATTTGTTCACATTACACTTAGACTACTTATTTATAATGGCTAACAGTAGCTGATTCTAGTTTAACTATCAATGTTTATTTACTTAGTAATTTAAAAGTAAAGACTGATATACCCATATTTTTCCATGTATAACATGTTCCTGTATATAATGTACTCCTGTGTATAATGTGCACCCATGTTTTTGACCCAAACTTTCAGGGGAAAAAAATCTTTCGTTTTAATTTTTCATTCAGTTTTTTAAAATTTTATAAAATTTTACATTTTAGTTCAATTTTTAAAAAATTATATTTAGATACTTGTTTTTATATTAAAAAGGAATTTTAGCATGTATTTTTTTAACATGTTCGGGTACAAGAAAATTATTTTTTAAGATTTTACTTAATTACTTTTAGAGAGAGGGGAAGGGAAGGAAACAGAAAGGGAGAGAAACATCAGTGTGTGAAAGAGAAACAGTTGCTTTTCACAGGCTTCCAACCTGGAACTGGCCAGCACCCCAGGCATGTGCCCCTACTGGGACTTGAACTGGGGGCCCTTTGGTTCAGAGTTTGCTGTTCAATCCACTGAGGCCAGGGCATGGTACAAGAAATTGTATGTAACAAATAATTGCAAAACACAAGAACTAATACAAGGTATCTCAGGTATTACCCATGTATAATGTGCATACTTATTTTTCCCTCAAATATTTGGGTAAAAAATTGCACATTATACATGGCAAAATATAGTATGTTCACAGGGAACCTATTATCCCAGGAATTCTTAGCCATGACAGCTGGATTAATTTCTTAAGGTGTAAGTCTGTGATCATGTAGAAATAATTGTAAATTGATATTTTGATGACCACCCCAAATGATTAACTCTTGCATGGGCACCTGACCCTGAATGTTACTCTGTTTTTTTCTCCCCATCACCCCATGTGTCACAATGTTTATTGATAGATACAAGTATATAAAAGTAGGGCATGAACACAACTTCATAACAAATGTTACTGTTGACTACTTTCCGTCCTTAATAGAATCAGAGGAAGAAGGCAGCCATGTAAGAAAGAAAGCTCAAGAGGAGTCCTGTAAGGGTTAAACAAGAAGCTAAAACAAGGTGTGGCCCTATAAAATATATGGACCTTGGGGAAGGGGGAAGGTGTTATGAGGCATCTAGGTTAAAAATTTGTGTCTTCCTATACCTTGGGTAGTAAGTTTATGCCAGAATATGTTGTTTTCCATGTAAGATAATGTTGGTGGCAAAATTTTTTAAAAACTCACTTTCTTCATTTATTATTTCACTATTAGCCTTAATGTATAAATCCTCTGAATTTCCACCTGGGATTACTTCCATCTTGTATGAAAGGAGTTTGGGTTAAGTATATAAAAACCAAAAGATTATATTCTCTTTTTCCTCTTTCTATATCTAATGTACTCCATATTACTCAAGAAATAATTTTATTATGAATCTCCAGGATATATTCCTCATGATTTTGACCTTTGTTTGTCTTAGCTATCTCTGTACTACCTCAATAATCTCTTTACCCAGCTTTTGTTTTGCTGAGGCAGGTAGGAGGAGCTAGAGAAGATGAATAGTTAAGAGAAGTGAGATTCAGTGACTCTTTTGCCTCTAAAATAAACTTTAGAATTCTTGGTTTGGCTTTTGACACTTTCTTTCCCTGATTGGACCTCAGGACTGATCTGTTTCAACCAAATTGGTACACTTGTATCTGTGGAACACACACTTTCAGTGGATCCTATTTCGTTCTAATTGGTAACTTGGAATTCTTGCCCTTCCTTCTTAACGTTTTGTTTTCTCCTGTATCAAAACTCATTTCTAATATTTCCTCTTCGACAAAACCTTCCCTGATCACCAGAGTATTTTCTCTCTCCTTTTCTCTACTTCTAGCAGTATCTATTATATTATTTGTAGAACTTTAATCATATAATTGACAATTAAGTACTTGTGTTTTATTTCTAACTTTGTGTTCAACTTAATTATAAAATTCTGAAGGGCAAAATGTCACAACTTTTTATTATACCCAAAGCCTATTACAATGCCTTGTGTATAGTAGGTATTCAGATATTTTGTCAGTATTAGGCAAAATATAAGTGGGAATGATTGCTATAGGAAGTGGTGGAGGAATTTAAGAGCTATCTGGCAGCAGATATTTATTGTATTACTTATTATTTTGGCTGGACCTGGGTATTTAAGAGTGAAGATTATACGAATCTGAAATGTGACAGCTTATGTTGGTATAGAAAATTAGGTTGATTGACTCTGGATCTGAAGGTTTCATGTTAATTTCCTGTGTTTGGGCTTTGAAGCTTAACATGACATTCATAATCATGCATCTCTTTCCATTTGTAAATATTATGAACTATACATTCTTTTAAACAGAGAAATTGTGGAATCACAGTAATGAGACATTGTATTAGCAACTATCAACTAACTTAATGTGAACCAAACCAATGTCTAATATATGTGTGGTTGCCTCTCAGCACCCCCAACTGGAGACCTGGCCCTCAACCCAGGCGTGTGCCCTGACTGGGGATCGAACTGGAACCCTTTGGTTTGCAGGCTGGCACTCAGTCCACTGAGCTACATGAGCCAAGGCCAAATATCTAATATATAAATAGTCTGTTCATTAAAACCTCTAAGCTAAACTTTAAAACTTATCAAAACTGTTAAACTATTTCTAGTAGTTAAAAAATACATATAAATTTTTCCTTATTTAATTTTTAAGTGAATAATTTCATATAGGCAGTCCGTGGCTGCTTAGATCCATTTATTGGAGTATGCTACTAAGGAAACCAGAATCATGAATTTGATTTTTTTGTGTGTGCCTCTTCATTTTTTCTAGCTTTGACATTAGCTAGTACTGATAACAAGTAGCATTATTGAGCACTTAATGCCAGGCATTATTGTAGAAATTTTCAAGTACTATCTGATTAAATATTCACATCTATATGAGATATATACTACAATTACCTGTATTTTAATAGATGAGGAAATTGAGACAGAGGTTAACACATGTCATTGGACTGTTCAAAGTAATTATATGCAGGCACTGCAGTTTTATTGCAACTACTATTGGCAGTTGTGATGGATTAGAAAATGTTTGTGTAGGGAGGATACAACTATAGTTCCATTGTACCCACAAAGTGAATCTTGTAATTGAGTTGGGCTCTGAGGTAGAAGTGTATGCTAAATTTGAAAAGTACAGTATTGCACGTCATGTCAGCTCCTGTTAGAATTTTTCAACAAGAAGAACTTATATTTTGAATATTAAAAACGTATGAGATACAGTTATAACTAATATAACTAGGACCACAAGCCATACACAGTTTTGTTTTATGGCATATTTTATTCATGTTCATTACTTTGCAACCCACTGACATAAATGGTTTCATTAAGTCCTTTATTCAAATGAAATGTTCAGTGAGTTTAAGAAGATAGTCTTAAATGCAAGCTACCTAATTGGTCTTATGATAGAGATTATACTATAAATGGAACATGTTATATTAAGATTTATGAAAAATAAATTCCTTGAAAGCAGGGACTAAGTTTTATTTGTTTTAAATAGGTGCTCAATATATGATTGGTTAACCTTAGTCTCCCTGATCATTTTCTGATGATCACATGATAAAATTGAATGTGAGCCAGAAATACAGCAGATTATGAGAGCGAATAGGTCATGTATAATCCAGTTTAAGTTTAGGCTGGTGCTTTGTATTCATCAGACATGTGACTGTCTCAGGCAGAGGTATAGATAAACTGGGGTTTTTTGTTTTGTTTTGAGTCATGGTATATGTGGTTTAATTTTTATTTAAAGAATATGGTCCAAGAACTGTGTGCTGTTTCAAAGAATTAAAACCATAAATCATTGGCAAGTTTGAATAAATATCTTGGCTTCATAGCATTGCTCCTTTATTCTTTAGAATGAGTGGTGAAAATTGCATTAAATTGGTATTCTGTCTATAAGAGATGAAACTTGCTTAGGAGATGAAGCTTGCTTACTTTTGTTATCAACATTTAGAAATGAAAATATTAATAATGATAAGCAAGGAAAGGCTGTATATTATTTTTTGGTTTTGTTTTGCAAACAGGATGATAAAACTTAAACAGGCTTTAAAAAACATCTTTGAAGTATGTCATCATGCTTTAGAATATAGCAGTAAATAAAGTTTTCACTTTCTATAAAGCAGTAGAATATTATCCTTGCACAGAGTCTGTAAAGCTGTTTTGAACACCAAGAGGCTGATCTTAGAATTGACAGCTTAATCCTGTGTTACTCCATGTCTGTTGTCTTCATTTTCTCCATCTGTAGAAATGCTTCCTGATTCTATAAGCAAGTACTTCAACGAATACTGAGCCATCTAGTGTGATCTATAGTTTGTAGAGCAACAAAGTGGAAATGGCAGGATACAGTTTGCAGGTCAACTTCTATGGGAATACCTGGGTGGAAAAGAATTCCTAACTATTGACAAGGGAGAAGTCACAATGATGACTGTCATTCATTTGTTTTACATATTAATCAAGTGTCATGATGTGGTAAGTACTATGAATAAAAAGGCGTGATTCCTTCCCTCATGGATCTTAAAATATAAAATGAGAGATAATTCAATCACAGGATTCTGTGAGCTCCTGATTAATGGTAGATCTATTTCCTGAGACAGGGAACAGAGTAGCAGAAGAGGGAGTTGAGAAATTCATTTTGGGCCATGTCATTTGAGGTGTGGCTAATCAAACGTAGGAAGTAGTTTGTGTCTGTGTGTATTTTTTTTTATATTCACCCAAGGGAATGTTTATTGATTTGAGAGAGAGAGAGATAGGAGAGAAGCATTGATTAGTTGTGTCTCCTATGTGCCAGACTGGGGGTGGAACCTGCAACCTTTTGGTGCATAGGACAACACTCCAACCAGCTGAACCACCAGACCAGGGCTCTGTGCGCACGCGTGTGTGTGCGCGCGCGTGTGTGTGTAATTTTTTAAAGCTAGTAGAAAGATGAAATTTTCACTAAAAAAAACCTTTTTCTGTTACTTTCTCAGCACCCTTTTCCATACACACAAAGCCTCTCATGGATGGACTCAGCAAATGATTCTCAGCAAATAAGCTAACATATAAGATGTTAGCTTATATTCTCTGGCTGATGTAGCTCAGTGGATTGAGTGCTGGCCTTTGAACCAAAGGGTCGCTGATTCAATTCCCAATCAGGGCACATGCCTGGATTGCAGGCCAGGTCCCCAGTAGTGGCACACAAGAGACAACCACACATTGGTGCTTCTCTCCCTCTCTTTCTCCCTCCCTTCCCTTTGTCTAAAAATAAATTAAAAAAAGAATGTTAGCTTATATGGACAGAAGTCTGTCTCTTAGAGACATTTTTTAAATGTGGGGACATTTGATCCTTTTCAAAGTGGGGACATTTCATGTGTGTCAGATATTTAGAATATCCATGTATTTTGTGAGTGAATGACGCTTTACTATCTTAAATAATGTTTTACTTTTTCCTTCTTTCAACTTGATTATAGAAGGTTATCAGCAAACACTTCTAAATGATCTGTGTGAGGGGTTTTGTTTTTAAGTAAAAGAAAAAGATGAATTGCCTGGGGAAATCAGTTATCTTCTGGGTCAGTCTGAGTCTGAGCTTCACATATTAAAAAATAGCAAACTGAGCCCTGGATGATATAGCTCAGTGGATTAAGCCCTGGCCTGCGAACCAAAAGGTCACCGGTTTGATTCCCAGTCAGGGCATATGGCTGGATTGTGGGCTAGGCCACCAGTGGGGACACAGGAGAGGCAACCACACATTGATTTTTCTCTTCCTCTCTTTCCCTCTATAAATAAATAAATAAAATATTTACCAAAAAGTTGTACAGTGTATACCTGTGTAGAAATTAAAGAAGACTACCTTATGGAGTATTTAATTCAGGTCACAGCACATGTCTAGAACATAGTGATATATTACAAATCATGAAACATGAAGGAAACATCAAAAGTGGCAGCTCTGTCTCATACATTTTGTGTAATTGAAACTAGCTAATACCTGTAATAACTGACTCTGGTTTAGGTACTTGTAACTTTTTACCTAATTCAGCAAAGACTAATTATTTTTT